TTTACTATTTTGTAATTTTCGCAATAGTTAACAAAATATTAATTACTAAAAATTACCAAATATTGGTCTTAAATAATTTTTTACTCAAATACTATCAACTTTATAGAAAAGCTGCAAGAGACAAAAATCATTAATTTTTTTCTCATAAAGTTGAGAATTTTTTCAGAATTTTTAATAATGTATTTTCTCATGTTCGTAAAAATAAGAAAATGCAGTACTAAAAAGTTGATAAAAAATTCTGAAAAAATTCTTAGAATTTTATGAAAAGAAAATAAATGATTTGGTCTGTTGCAATTTTTCTGTAATGTTGGTAGTATTTGAGTAAAAAATTATTCAAGACCAATATTTGACAATTTTTAGTAATTAATATCTTGTTAACTATTGCGAAAATTGGTAGAGGACTTTTCGACTCAGTTTAGTCCGCTGTATTTACACAAAAGCGGTTGGCAAAAACTGTCGGGATACCCTGTATATACAAAGTGTTCAGTATAACGGTCCGCACGATTTTTTAAACACTTTCGACAATTAAAAAAAAAGTTGAAGGGTGATAATCCATTTATTTCATGCGGGCTACAACATGCGATAAAAAAATTTAAAAAAATTAAAAAAAATTTTTTTTATTTAAAAAAATCAAGATCTTGAATTTTTTAAATAGTACCAATTTTTTTCTCATAATATTATATAGAGATCTTCAAGACAAACTTTACGCACTATCGAGATTATCACTTTCATTGATATTTTATTGATTTTATTACACAATATTTATCACAAAAATACTAATTAATAAAAGAATACTTACGTAAATTTATTAATTTGTGAACAAATTTTATTGATTTCATTGATATTTAATATCAAATTTGCATTATAAACATAAATTAATGAAGAAAAACTGTAACTTATGTAAGCAAATGTTCAAATTGCTTGCCTCTTTCTGTAACACAAAATTCTGCTCTTTTTAATAAATAAGTATGCGTAGCAGCTATTATATTATTTTGATCCAAAGTTGCACAAGCTGTAACTATTCTTTCTCGAAGATCGTGAATATTATCGCTGAAATCGTTGAAATCTTTATTGATTTAATAGATTTTAGTTATTTTAACAATTTCAACTATCTATTTCTATCAGGAGCATCACAAAAAGATGAATATTTCTGTGTAGTTAACAACCATTTCTTCAGAGGGCGATAGTGCGCGGCAGTATTTTGCAGTTACAGGTAGAGCACTGTAATATAGCTAGCACTATAATATAGTCCTTTTCTCTCTTGCTCCTTTCTTCAATCTTTTGCTCCCCCCATCTCTCTCTCTCTCTCTCTCTCTCTCTCTCTCTCTCTCTTTCTCTCTTTCAACTCCGCTGCTAAACTAAGACGACCGAAGAGAGAACAAAGAATGGGGAAGAGACTAAGAATAGCGGATGCGAATACTCATATTATAGAACCTTAATTTTGAGCTGTCATGTCCTTTCTCAAAATTCTTTGTATGAATGTGTGTATATGTACAAACACTACAAACGTCATACAGCCGATTACAGAAAGATTGCAACACTTTTTTTGGAATGCAGCTTGCCCATCACCGAGAGATGGTTCTTATTTACGGATCCACAAATAAGAACCAATCGCTCGGTGAGCAACCCGTATTCCGAAATCCATCGAAAAAAAGGTGTTGCAACTTTTCTGTGACTGGCTGTACATAAAAATTTTCACTTTTCACGTTTCCGTCCTAGGAAAAAAGTTATATGATAGCTACCCAGGTTTCTCTGTACTAATTCTCCCAGTGGAAAACGCTATTTGAATCTGCGGCGTATGATGCTTGTTTTCCTGCTGGATTACCAGCTGGATTAATTTTACCATCGTATTGGCTGCAGTGCTGTCAGTATCAGCATCATAGCCAATACAGTGGCAAGATTCTAATCTAGATAGTAATCTAGCAAGAAAATAAACAAAATAAACAAAATAAATGGCGAAAAAGAGTCGTCGCATAATATATATAATTAAAGATAACAGTCAAAGATACATAAAATAAAATAAAAAGTACAACGGCGTATATTAAAATATAAAACAAACAAGTTTCGGCTGCTGGATTGAGCCCTCCTCAGATGTAAAAAGAATATAATATAAAAGATATAAAAAGAACATAAAAGAATACAACAGAGAAAGATAATAATAAATCGATAACATTCAGTGACGCAACATTTTTAACGCGCGGAAATCAGCAAATGTGATGGATCTCGACGTAGCTTAATGTTGTATGTGCGATAGGGCAATCAAACCGATGTTAAGAGACATAGTCAAGTGCTGACTGAAAAACGGAAAAGGAAGGGAACTCATAAAAGACAAGTAAACTAAAAAACTTTAAAACTTAAAATCAAAACACGCCGCAGATAAGAAGCCAAGTGCTCACTCACCAACGCATCCGAACAGGAAATGAAAATCGCCGCAATGCATGACAAGTGTGAAAATCCCTGACAATGATAGGGATGTAATCGTCGAAGTCAGACATGTCAACATCGCACATGACACCGAACGCTTATGGGCTGCCAAAGATTCACAAGCCTGATTGTCCCCTTAGAATAATAGTGTCGTCGGTGGGCAGTCCGCTGCATCCTTTGGCTACTTTTTTACACAAGAAACTATTTAAGGCCATCCCGAGAGCTGACAGTTATATAAAAAACAGCTTTGAACTGGTCGAAAGGCTGAGGGATGTGCACTTTACGGGGACACATGAGTTGACGTCTTTGGACGTTACCTCTCTGTTCACGAACGTGCCAACGGAGGTGGCGATCGATTGCGTTGACGAACATTGGCCGGCGGTTTCTGGGGATTGCTCTCTACCTAAGAGAGAATTTTTGGGAGCAATACGGTTTGTCCTGGACTCTTCGTTTTTTGTCTTTGACAATGTTTTTTACAGGCAGAGCTTTGGCACCCCCATGGGCTCTCCATTATCGCCGGTGATTGCGGACCTAGTGTTGAGGAGATTGGAGACGGTGTCCTTGATGTCTGTAAATTTGGACATTCTGTTCTATTATAGATACGTTGACGACATATGTACTGCGTTGCCCCCCTCTCAGATCGACGTGCTATTAGAGAGATTTAATGCATTCCATCCGCGCCTACAGTTTACCGTAGAGAGAGGCGGAAAAACGATCAATTTCTTGGACGTCACTGTGTCTGTCGACAATAATCGCTTTAATTTCGATTGGTACCGTAAGCCAACGTTTTCAGGTAGATTCTTAAACTTCCACTCTAATCATCCATTGACGCAGAAGAAAGGAACCATCTTTTCATTAGTCGACAGAGCCTTTTTATTATCCGACGTTAAGTTTCACACAAAAAATTTGACCTCCATCATTGACATTTTACTTCTGAATGACTATCCACTAGATTTTATCTTTGACTCCATCAATCATAGGATCAAAAATTTGATTAGAAATAGACACAGGTTACACGATACCGAGACTGACATTGACTTAACTAATAAACCTGCTTCTTGGCTTACGGTACCTTTCATTCCGCTTCATACAGAGAAACTTAGATCTTTGAATAAAAGCAAAAGTGATATCAGGGTGGCCTTCCGCAGCCCCAACAAAATGGGCAAATATATAAGAGTCCAGAAGGATTCTTGTCCCAGCACTTCGAAAAGCAACGTTGTTTATAAAATTCTGTGTAATGATTGTGACGCTTCTTACGTTGGACAGACGGGCAGACAATTAAAAACTAGGATTGCCGAACATCGTAATCATATTAGACACAAAACATCTGCCCGCTCTGTCATCACCGATCATAGGTTGAGTCACAATCACGATTTTCAATGGGACAATGTTCTGATATTAGACGAGGAACCTTCGTATAGAAAGCGCTTGATTTCGGAGATGCTACATATTAAAAAACAGAAGAACAGTCTCAATTTGCAGACCGACACCGAGGGTCTTAATAAGGCATATCTACCGATAATAAACAAAGTCTGACTTTCGATCCTGTCGACCCGTCTCCTCTCTCAGTGCGTCGCGTGCCGTCTTAGCGAGCGTTCGGTGTCATGTACGATGTTGACATGTCTGACTTCGACGATTACATCCCTATCATTGTCAGGGATTTTCACACTTGTCATGCATTGCGGCGATTTTCATTTCCTGTTCGGATGCGTTGGTGAGTGGGCACTTGGCTTCTTATCTGCGGCGTGTTTTGATTTTAAGTTTTAAGTTTTAAAAATTTTTTAATTTACTAGTCTTTTATGAGTTCCCTTCCTTTTCCGTTTTTCAGTCAGCACTTGACTATGTCTCTTAACATCGGTTTGATTGCCCTATCGCACATACAACATTAAGCTACGTCGAGATCCATCACATTTGCTGATTTCCGCGCGTTAAAAATGTTGCGTCACTGAATGTTATCGATTTATTATTATCTTTCTCTGTTGTATTCTTTTATGTTCTTTTTATATCTTTTATATTATATTCTTTTTACATCTGAGGAGGGCTCAATCCAGCAGCCGAAACTTGTTTGTTTTATATTTTAATATACGCCGTTGTACTTTTTATTTCATTTTATGTATCTTTGACTGTTATCTTTAATTATATATATTATGCGACGACTCTTTTTCGCCATTTATTTTGTTTATTTTGTTTATACATAAAGAGTCTTTATACCGTTGTTAAGAAAATAAACATCGTGCCGCTAGCTTAAGATAAGTATATCATGTGATATTGACAGCACTTGTCATGGATCTAATAAGACATTGAGAACTTTTCATTAGATTCACGACAAGCGTGCTGCCAACATCGCAAGATGTGCTTATCTTTAAACTGCTATTAAATGTAGAAAAATGGACATTATTGGACATATAAAGATGCGAATTGACTATTCATTCAGATACTTTATCCATAGTTTATATGACGATAAACAAATATTTTTTGTAATTTTAAATACAATTTAATGATTCAATTACGTATAATTTGTAATCAATTATGTATATATTTAGTTATATTATTAATGTACACTACCAGTCAAAAGTTTAAGTTCATCAATCACAGATTGGTGGGAAATATTATATAATATGTTTTTCGTAATCAATTTTGGCTTAAGGCTCCTGACTACTCAGCCAAGAACTCTGCATTGACGATGGCGACACAGAATCAGACGGTGGTCTGATGAAACCAGTAACCACATACTTAAGCACGATCCTATGTCCGTGTGCTCGCCTACGGTACGCCGAGAGTGAACAAAACAGCAAGCTCCTTCTCACACTAGTCATTTGTTTCAAGCTACCAAAAATGCTTCCTCGGCAATCTCGGTCCTAGGCATCAATAAGGGGCAAAGGACATTCTAAATAACATATAAGTTTTAAATTGTAGTAATAGTGTATTCCTCCCATTAATCCAGAATAGTATAAATCATGTTAAAATGCCACACTTTACGAGATATTTACGATTTTTCATACGCGTTATATTATAGTATACTCCTTCATAAACTCGAGTAGCAAGAATAGTTCAATAGAAGTAGAATCTTAAAATTATAAACTAGCGATTCATTTCACGAAAATCTCGAAAGGCCATCAAAAAGGAAATGCGTATGTTTGAGACTCGAGACTTGTGAAGAAAATATGCGAAAAAAAAATCGAATAGTTGCAAAAAAAAATGTTTTTTGCTTATAAAATAAAAAATATTGATTGTATAAAAAAAAAATCGGTATAAAAAATTTAGATATTCGAAATAACTACAAAATGAGACATGGAACATTAAAATCAATCTATTAATTCAGTAGAAAAATAAATAAAAAACAGCGAAAAAAGCCTTTTTTTCACTCGCTCTCTGTTCATGGAGATTTAAACGCAAAGCTTTGAAATTCTCGTAAAATGTAGCCGTCGTAATAACGAACAAATCTAGCCCTGAAATGTTCATCAGTTTTTGCAAAAAGCCATTTGTTCACTAAAAACCTCTCTGCGGAAAACTTAATTCCTTCATCTTTGAGCAGCCGCATAGCAATTTACAGGGCTGATTTTTCTTCTCCAAGAGTTGCACTATCACGTATACTTAATAACAAAACGATTTTTTGCAGTTAAACTATTAGGTTGTTCGGAAAGTAATTTCGTTTTTTCCCAACAGAGGACTTATTGTATTTTTTCACAGCCAACTTCACACTTAAGCCGCATAATCATGATATATTTTGACAGCTGATATAGCAAGGCTTGCTTGTGAAAAAAGTTTGATTGATTCTAAGCAGTAGTTTTTGGTTGGTGCCCTATCAAATATGAAAGTGAAAAGCAGCATTTTCGGCATATTTTACTTTTTTACTATCGAAAAGGTAAAAATGCTGTTCAAGCAAGAAAAAAATTATCCGATGTGTATGGAGATGTATTGACAGAACGCCAGTGCCAAAACTGATTTGCAAAATTTCGATCCGGCAATTTTGATGTTGAAGATGCACCACGTTCTGGAAGGCCAGTTGAAGCTGATGAAGACACAATAAAGGCATTAATTGATGCAAACCGGCGAATAACAACTCGTTAGATCGCTGAGAGATTAAATTGATCGAATTCGACCGTTCATGATCATTTGAAACGCGTCTGATTGAAAATCGTTTTTCATTTTCATAAGAAAAAACGAAATTACTTTCCGAACAACCTAATATTTTAAAACGACTTTAAAAAGTAGGTATCTTTTTCTGTATATATAAAAAAATGGAATGCCCTCCGCCCTTATCGATGCTAAGCAGCCGAGATTGCCGAGTAAACATTTTCGGTCGCTTGATACAAGCGACTAGTGTGAGAAGGAGCTCGCTGCTCTCGTTCACTCTCGCCGCAGGCGAGCACACGGACATGGGCTCGTGCTTGTATGTGTATTACAGCGCCGCACCATGATAAATGACCGAACTTATAGGTGTAGGAAAGTGACGTTTTGACAACGAAATTTATGTTGCATGCCATTTCATTTGCTTAATTGTAAAAATGTGACTTGTCTCGTAATTATCGATGAAAACTAAAGTTATCTTGGAATTTTATATGTAAAAGCGTATATTTTACTCGGTTCAATAGCTATCGGATCGTGTGTTTCTGCTCGAATATAGGCTCACATTACGATCGTTATCTTTTACGACCGTTTACTGACTGTCAAGGGAGGAAAGGACAGTTTTCATCGATTTTTATGAATGTTTAAAGTAATCTCGTCATTTTGTTTCATCCAAATTGTCTTTATTTAAAAATGGCATGTAACATAAATTAACGTGTCATTCTTCGCTTCTGACGTCACGATTCCAACATAACCGCCGCGATTAATTAGAAGCTTTAATAGCTTTATTTTCAAGGAAAAAAGTAATGTCGTAGAATAAAATAGCATAGAAATTGAATTCTATATTTTTTGTTGATTTTTGACTCTTCAAAATATCCTCTTTTAGACTTCAGAACAGCAGCATATACGTTGGGCATTCTTTCTATTAACTTTTTTAAAGCAGTAGCTGAAATTTGAGTCTAATTCACTCACAATAATTCTCACAGTTGATTTTGATTGGTAAATCGCATTTTTCGCATGTTTTTATCCAACTTATCGCATAATAGTTCGATTGGATTCAGGTCAGGTGACTAAGAGAGCTAATTCATGAATTTTAACTCTTTTTGCTTTGCTTTGTTCGTGATGTACTTCTTACATAATTTTGATATGTGTTTAGAATTGTTATCTTGAAAAACAAAACCACGACCCACTATTCTCTTTCCACATAGAAAAGCATGACGTAAAATATGGCGATATTGCATTATATCCAGAATTCCCTCAATTTTTACGATTTTATCTCCGGCAAAACAGCCCTAAACCATGAGATCCGCCACTATGCTTTACTATTGGTATTAAACACGAATTCATTATCGAACTTCGACACGTCTGAGAACAATACTTTATATAATTTACTGACCAATCTTTATGTTCTTTAGCCCATTGCAACTTTTTTACTTTATTTTGTTTCCATAGCAGTAGTTTTTGGCAGCTATGCATCCTTTTAATCCGTAATCGCGAAGGCAGCGTTTGACAGTCGTCAAAAACACTGGCCCCTGTCTAGTAGAATTCAGTTCTTCACGAATTCTGGCGCAATTCGAGTTTGCTGACGCTTACTTTACACGCAGATGAACTTGTCTTCACTCTGTGATGTTACTCTATATCAGACGGATGACGGCTTCTTGCCCGATCTGTTGCTTCCTCTTCAACGCATTCATAACTGCTTGGGAAATCTTGACCTTGGATGTTATTTTCCGCGTATAATAGCCTTTTCCGTGCTACGATAACAACATGTGTTATTTCTATACCTAAATCTTGTTTCCGACCCAAACTTTAACACTAAAAAAACAGAAAAAATGACTGTAGCTTTCTTTATAGTATCGTAACATGTATTTTTCAGAAACATAAAATCTACTAGCATCTGGTTATAGTACAGCACAGTTATGATTTCTAAATGAGACTCACCTCAGAACAAGAAAAGAAACAAATAAGCAAAGATATTAACACATTTGCAGAACTCACAATAATAATACCAGAACACAGTTTCGAAGTAACTTAGACTTGTGATGAATATTTACCATAAAACAAATGCGTGGCGTTATAGTACAATCTGTGTTGAAGTTTCTGTTTTATGCTTACATGTCGGTATTGTTGCTTTTTCTTCAAGTTTGTATATTTATGGGAAATGAATTTAAACTTTTGACCTACTGTAATCGTTGAAGAGGATCCTAACTGAGGATCGAAACGTCCAATTAATTGTTATATACAACAAACTTTAATCGCAATAACATCCAGTATTGGCTCTTAAAAGCTTTTTATTTTTATTTGATGCAATAATAAAAGTACATAAGAATAAATTTACATTAATAAATATATAATACATAGTTTACAAAAAATGACAATGTATGATAAACTATGTAATAAAATCATAAAACTAAATGTAATTATTTCGTATCAAATACCAATATATATAAATATTTTGTATCGAATCAAATATAATTTTAATAGATTTCATTACTATAATTATAATATTAAATCTATTATACACATATAGTGTACTTGATTTAAATGTAAAAATGTAAATATGTATAACTAGTAGAGATGTAAAACAAATTTTTTCTAAAAAAATTATTTTATTTTATAAAATTTATACAACAATCAACACATATGTAAATTTAAAATCATTCATTTTTTAAGATTATTTCAAAATTAATAGTTTTTAAAATATTTATTTAAATATTATTATATTTTTAAGGCTCCTGAGTAATCATCGCGGCCATATTAAAATTATGACATCATAGGCAAGAAATAACACGTAAAATTGTGTTACGTGCTATTTGTAAATAAAGACCATTTGAATAAAACAAAATGATGAGATCGCTTTAAAACAATTATAAAAATAGACAAAACTGTCCTTATTCATTCTGACAATCAATGAATAATCATAAAAAGAGATAAAAGGCACATTATGTGCTTTTATTCAATGCATATGCAATTGTCTATTTTTACTTATATGTTGCTTTCCATCACTTTTTACAATTACTTTAAAACGATCTTATCATTTCGTTTTACTCAAATTGTTTGTATTTTATGTATACAAATGATAATACAAATTAACATATTGTTTTTTGCTTCTGACGTTACATTTCAGGCTATGGTAATTATAATTCAGGAGTTTTAATAATACGTAAAAAGGTCATATTTTAATTATTCATTTTTATGATACACTATCATTTCTCCTAATAATAAGGTTACATATTATCAAACTATTTGTTATATTCAAATTATTTATTTTAAACTAGACAAACATATCATTCTATTTGAAATAGGTATAATTGATTTTGTAAAATGTCTTTGAAGAATAATTCTATACATAATTTTAAGTAACTGCAACAAAAATAATTCACAAAACAAAGTTTGTACAAAGACAGTTTTTTAAACTCCACTAATTAAAAATGTTTATATATTAACACTTATACCAAACACAGTAACTTTAGTTTATAAACTACTAAACTACAATTTCTTGCCCTTACCTGCCCTATTCTTTGTGTATAATGCCTTTATTTTAAATTTTTATTTATAAATAACTCATTTTAAATATTTTTGTCTAATTTATACTTTTCTTCAGATTAAAATTGAATCATTCACATTACATATTTATAGATAACTTTATTAATGTCTTTATTAATAATGCATTTATCACAGTAGTATGTTATTATAGCCTTTCAATTAACTTTTTATCTGAAAAAATTATTGTATACCTTAATTTATATGAAAAATTAATACAGTAAAGATAATATACTAAAATTTGTGTGTGTATGTGTGTGTGTATATGTGAAATACACATAACATAAATTAATTAACTAACCTGATTTAATCATCCCATTCATCGTCATCGGTAGTATCACTAGTGGATTCTTCACTTTCACTATGAATTGCACGAGATCGTTCAGCTAGAGCTCTAGATAATGCATCGGCCAAGCCACCACGAAGTGCAGGTACTGAATTTGATTTTGCTTCGTTTCGAACAGGTTTCAATTCAATGCCTTCACGTATTTGTCGTAGTAACTCACCTCTTGAATCCTCAACTAATGCTGGTTTCATTTCTGTCTTATCGACTTTCTGTAAAGTATAACATCCATTACAAATGTACATAACACAATAAATTACGCTAATGTTTCTTGATGTAGTTGAGATTAAGATGGAGATTATTTCGTTGTTTTTTAATTTACAAAAAAAATTTGAAAGATTTGTACAGTTATTGAAATAAAAATATATTTAGATTTTGTTCGCCATCTCTCTCTCTCTCTCTCTCTCTCTCTCTCTCTCTCTCTCTCCTCTTCTTCTTTCGTCATTAATTTTTCTCATTTTTCCTTATTATTTTTTTAAATTATATATTTAAGGGAATCTTAAAAGCCGTCTGTATTACCGACTTATTTTTTATTATCGATATACTTTAATCCTAGAGAAGGATTTTCGAATCTGTAAAAGAGGAAAAAAGTAATTGTTATACAAAATTACGAATTAGTCGATAATACAGACGGCTTTAGGATCCTCTTAATTCTTAGAAAGCATAGCGGAATAAGCATGTGAAATCGGCCTCCACAATCGAGTAAATTAGTGTCATTAGTTGGCACCTTTGAGATATAAAATTTTCCTAAAAATTAGCCTTGAAATTACTTTTTGAGAATTATGGGAGGAGAAAGCGAAATAAAAAAAAAATTATTTTTCTCAAAAACGATTGGATCGAGTTTATTGGAAAATATATATGTAAATAAATATCGTTTAGATAAATTTAAGAAAATTTCTTGCAAATTTTATGATTATAAAAAGGCATAAAAAAATTTTCGAATTTTTTATCGAGATTCATCGAATAATCCGGATGTCTGATGAATGCCGATGAGCACCATTTGGCTCGAAATTTGATTGCTTGCCCGTTAAAAGCTAAAGAGTTACGGCAATTCCATTAAAATAAATATCTGTTGCTTTTGTTAATATTCTATTTTTTTAATTCATTCTTTTTTAGATTATTTTATTTCATTAAAAAATGTCTACAGCGTTAAACGTGCAATTGCGGTATATTAGCTGTGACATTAATTTAAAAAAAAATTAAAAGTAGAAAAATATTAATACTTAATAAAGATGAAGCGAATTTTTTTTCTAGCTATTGAAAAGAACGATATCCATATCAATGACACTTTGTGCTATAGATGTCAGCTTTCTATTTACAAAAAAAAAAAAGAAATCCGAAGATGACTCTAAATTAAAAATTGATAAAAATCTTCCTTGCTCCGAATTCTTCTGATACGACATCGAAGTTTAGTTAGAATCAAATAAAGCTATGCCTGAAGTTAAATATATTATAATTCCTATTCAGAGGACATACGCATATTTCTACGCAAAACTGTTACATTTGTTCTTCCACAAAAAATCTTATAATAATTCCGGAAGAAACTCGAATGCAATACATTAAAAAAAAATCTATATATATACCAATTATTAATCGATATTGAGGAAGTCATGTAATAAAAAATCGATTTTTTGAAGCTCTTAATCTTTTAATCCGGGGGTAAAACGTCTCGAAACTAACGTTAGTAGGCGCGTCCTGGTCATTTTGACCGAAATATATTTTCACATATATATGTGTTATAACCAGAATACATATATAATTATAATTACTGTAAGTAATAATTAAGACAACGAGATTACAAACACTAATAAGTTTACGTATTATTGCGTACCGAGATGGACGTGTTCCGTCTCAGCTTGGGTGTTGCATCATCCCTAATTTTTGTCAAGCTACCGAGTTCTTTCGTGATTGTTTCCTTTCTTTAATTTGTTACCTGCATTTTCGAATTAGTTTATGGCCAGAACGCGGTCGGGTTGACTGCGAGAACCAATAAAAGAAGAAAAAGAAGACTAACGTAAGTGCGCGCGTTATGGTCTTTTAGAATTTTAGACCGACCGTTACTAACATATCAAATTTTATGTAGATATAAGCGTGTTTACGTCATCAATTTTCGCATATTATACGAAAAAACATTAACAAACATTTATGTAAAAGTAAAAATATAATAGTGCCAATAAATTGAAAGATATAGATAGAAAACGGAAGAGTACGGCAAAATGACTGTAGCGCCACTCCCGGGTTAAGGATATATATATATATATTTTTTTTTATTGTGTATAGAGAAATTACAAAGCATACATAAATGATGAGGTAGAACTGCTGTTACTAAACCTCCCAGAAAACGAAACAAATTACAAATTATAGAGAAATTAGTACAATTCCAGGAAGATAAGTTTCTTGCTAGTAATTAACTCGATAGTTTTAAGAAAGTAGAGGACAAGAATAATTTGAATATAATTGCAAAAAAGCATGATTAAAATAATAAATGCAGATTTATTACATAGTAAACAAAGACAATTAAAATGATCAGAATTAATATAAAAAATACTGATAATTAAAATAAATAAACTTAAAAAAAACGTTGATGCAAACTCAGTAGTGGTAGAGCGAAACGAAAAAACTGAAGGGGAAGAGTGGATGGAAGAGAGTAGCATGTAAAATTTTGTAACAGTATAGGAAAACGCAGCCTTAAATTTGGAAATTCGATGTCTAGGGAAGGCTAAGGAATTATGATATCATGTCAGGAATATCATCAGAATGGAAATTGGAGTTCAAGTACAGGAGACTGCGAAGGTATCAAGGAATGTTAGAATAAAGGAGACGAAAAACCAAACAACACAAGAGAAGAACATAACGCTGATGCATGAACTAACCAGAGCGCAAAAAACAAGAGGAGATATGATCATACTTACGTACAGTAAAAGAGTAACGAAGACATAAATTCTGAACACGCTGGATTCGGGTAAGCAATGTTTGAGATAAAGTTGGTATGTAGATCAAATTGGCATAGTCAAGGAAATTACAATCAGTTGAGATACTAGGAGTTTCTGTTGATAGGATGTTGATGGGATGTAATGAAAGGGATATAAAAGGCGGAAACGTAAGAAAGCTGCGCGACATTCCATCATGATGTGCTCACTAAAAATCCAGGAGGAGTCAAAATAGATTCCAAGAATTTTAACAGGGGAGAGAGAGGAGAGCGGATAAGGAGAATGTTGAAAGAGAGATGGAATCATAAGAAAGGTAATCCTGCAACGAGCAAAGAGGATTTAGAAGGATTAAGATGGAGTACATTGGAAGAGACCCATTGCGCAATAGAGTAAAGATCCTGGTTTATGTCAGCAACAGAGAAGGCAGCAGCAGAGAAAGCTTCGGACATTAAAAGAGTACAATAGTACATCATCAGCATACATGAAGAGTTTAGAGTTAAGTGATATGAACGCAAGGTCAGCGGTAAATATCGTGAAAAGTAAAGGACCAAAGATTTAACCTTGGGAGACACCGGAGGGGATATTGCAAGGAGGAGAAAAGGAGGGAGAAGGATTATAAAGGATACGTTGAGAGCGATTAGTAAGGAAGGAACGTAAAAATGAAAGAGATAAACCTGAGAAGCTTTAAAAGAAACAATTCATGATCAACTATACCAAAAGTCCTCGAAAAATCAAGGGTAATAAGCGAGGTTAATAATCCTGAGTCGAATCCGCGTAACACAATATCAGATAAATGAAGTAGCTCAGTAGTAGTAACTGTGAAAACTGCAAAAGCTAGATTGACAATCAGGAATCGAATTGCACTTTCGGAAGAAATCATTCAATTGATCGAAATAAATACGCTTAAGTAATTTAGAGAAAAAAGGAGGGATAGAAATTGCTCGAAAGGAGGAGAGTGAAGAGGGGTTACTATTAATTACTTTTTTTTATACACTCTAATACAGCAAATCTCACTGAGTCAGAGTTATCTGATTGATGGAAACTTTTTCTATTAAATATGATTCGACATTACTTGACAAAGTCAAATTCAATCTCTTAGAAAAACAACTTCATATCTTTACGGGATTAATTTGGAACAATCTTATTCAAATAAAAAAATATGATGATTTCAATGAAGAACAATGTGTCCCCTTCAATAATTCAAGCTCTGGTTGTGTTTCTTTTGAAATTACGTAAAACTTACGTAAAACTTATGTAAAATTAGAAACTCCAAATGATAGCTTCCATCTTGCAATTGGAACAGTCAGTTTCAGATTATTCTGCGAGCATAATGAAATTTTTTTAAATGACACTTTACCATTTCATTCTGGCTTGCTGTTAATAGGGATAATTCAAAATCATACTATGGAAATAACAAAAAAATTGTTTAATGTTCGTAACAATTTATTTTTGATTTACGATAGTACGTACACCTGACATAAAAAAAAAAATACTAATACACAATGTGTACCAAAAGAAATCTTTCTTAGGACAGAAAAAAGTTCCTATCTGCAAACCTTTCACTATCTGTACAACTGATGGATACATAGTTGACATGCTCAAACTGTATCTTCGAAATCAAAATAATACGAAAATTTTAAAGGACATTATTCAAGAACCAAATGGTAAGTTGTTAATAGAAGGTGATATTTTTTTCTTGATCGCGGTTTCCGAGATATAGCAGATGATTTAGAGAAAAGAAATTTACAGTTCTAATGTCTGCATTGAAAGGAAAACGAAAACAATTGTCAACAAAAGAGTCCAATCAATCTCGATTTGTTATTAAAATTCGCTGAGTAGTTGAATCTGTTCATGCAGCGCTATAAAATATCGTCTTCTGGACCACAAAATTGACAATAAATTAACCAAAAATTGGGGTTTATTTTAGGATTGTATCATTTCTAAACAATACTATTGCGAAAAAATTACAATCTAATGTAGAAACTGTAGATAAAATTGTACACAGGATGCATGATCAAAAAAATATAGAAAATACTTTTTTTATTAAAGCAGAAGAAAAAGAATAGTTTTGCCGCGCGCGCGCGCGCGTAGACTTCTTTTTAAAAATATTATGTTTAATGATTTTTTTGGATTTTCCGGATATAACCGAAAGAGACAAGAAAATTATATTTACCGGTTCATACCAACTTTCAAGCCGTGTAGTATTTGGAGATGATAGATAAAAATGGTAATTAAACATATAGAGTATGTTAAGGAAAAACGAGAAAAATGTCCTTAAACTA